GTAGAAAATTTTTAAGACTTTTATCTTCAAAAGGAGGTAAGCTTGACTTCCTCTGTCATTGTGAGAAGTGAACCCATTCATATTCGTCAATCATCTGCAGAAGACCTGCAATATTTGTGGCAGCCTGACAGCCCACAATGACACCCCTTTCTCCAATAACTGTGGTAGCTGGTAGACGACCAAAAAACTGGTGAAACAGGCTGGCGCGTGCCAGACTTACACGCTCAGAAACGCCCGAGAGTCAGCATCCGCTGCGAAGAAGTCGTAGCCAATCGTGCAGCCAGCGAGAATGTTTTGGGCAACATGCTTCTTCAAGAGCGTGACACAAGCGGAATATATTTTTGGAAAGCATGCTCCCAAGTCCCATTTCAACGCAATTTCAAATGAATTTGAAAAATTGAATTGTACACTGCGAATTGGAGCTGGATTGTTCGTATGCTGTTGGACTTTGACAACGTTTTTTCGAAGATGGTTTCATGGACTCCTGAAGAAGGCAACACTGCCGGAATCGGGGATCGCACCAGGGACATTTCACAAGACTAGAATCGCGATCACTTCTAGCTTTCCTTGAACCAAAGCAAGTACGGAAATTGGGTTGTGACTATAAAGTTTATCCCAAAAACTGTGCTCTGAAAGAAGAGCTGGGAAGGTTGACACTGAGACCGACTCCAAGAAAGAAGTTGACGCACGGATGCTGAGCTCAATGCCAAGCAGTTTTCCTCAAACAAGGCTTAAGTTCTCTCCGGGCACCAAGCCAAATTCTTTACATCGCAGGCACCTCATGTTGCCGTCCCTCACTTTTTTTCGACAACGTCCGTACCATAGTTCATCAGCAGTCCCACGTGATAAGCCACTGAGCTCGACGGACAACCGTCGAGCTGAGCGGTTTAGCCACATGTTTAGATTTATTTTTGCCAACTGTTGTTTTCCTACACAGCGCCGATGTTAATGCTCTTCTCATAATTCGGCATCAATGTGACAACATTCACACTGCGCTCTGCCTGTAAACCAGTACTCAACAAAACAAAACAAGGAAAACAGGTCAGCTCTCTCGTCGACTGAAACGGTGGTTCCTCCGCTTTGTAATCGCATTTGAGTTGGGAAATAGGGATTGAAAATCCGGGTTAGTACATCCACAAGTTGAATTTTCCAGACGAATAATGGTAATGACGTTTACAGTGAATTATAGTAACCACAATTCGACGATCCCTACCCTATGGGGCTGCTGAATGTTTTTCGCTGCAACAAAAACAACCATGCCGCTTCACGCGCCATGTAAATCCACGAGTTCCCAAAAACAACTTCCGACTTCAGCCGAAGTGATACATCATTTCGACCACACGAAAGGAGCAAAATGCGTTCACGATCTAGATTTAATCCACCCGCTTAACACGTTGACGACAACGCGCTTGGCTTTTTGGCCGCATGGGACACGCGCGCTTCATCGAAGGAAACAGCGCGGTACATTACATGTTCACACGGCCCCAGGAGGCCTCTTTTTGAAATGATCGGAAAACGCGATTATGAGAGCGATTATGAGTAATTCAATACTTCAGTACAGAAAAAACTAGTGCTCCAACTCTCGTATGCACTATGTTGACAGAAATTCGCCCATAACCAATGTTTAGATAAAAAAAGGAGTCGTGCATTCTATAGCGTTCAGAAACCTTCACCTTATAGTTTTTATCATTATCAACATGGTATCGATCTGCATTTCCTAGTTACTTTCTTGGGAAAGCAAACCAATCCAAGTTGAGAGCAAATTCAATCCGAGAAATGGGCCGGCGTATCCTTTCCCAGAGTTTTGCTAAATAGTGTGTATGAATTATCCCAGGATCTACGCATTAGTACGAAGTATACCAAGATGAACTTTAGAGTGATAGAGAAACTACTTAAAAAACCATGCACTGTTGAAAGATATGGATTTGTTGATCGTGAGTTGTATAGTATGCACGCTGTCCCACATGGCCTACAACGCGTGCATTCAATGTGTCTCACGCAGTCGTCAATGTGTTAAAGTTCCTTACAGGCAGTGGGTCTTACGCATCACTGCTTACAGACGTTTTCTTAGGCTGCGTTCATACTTGCGGCAACGTACGCTAGCGTTTCCAGCGTTGAATAGCGGCAGTGGCAAGGGAGGGATGGATATGATCTACGCAGTACCCAGTGTACGCTGCCTAAACGACTAGAATACTCTAGCGTTACGCCAGCTACACTGTGACGCTAGATCATCGTGGTGCAGTGGTTAGCGTTTAGCGAGGCAAGAAAGATAGGTATCAGATTTAGCTTCTCAGAATATATGTATATGTATGTTAATATTAATATAGGATTCTGGCTTAAATAGGGTTATGGCGTTTCACTGTAAAGATTGCGAGTAGACTCCGCCCCCTCGACCTCGGAACCAACTTTTTTTGATTTATTTGTTTCGAGTGACGGACGAGACCCTATCATACAAGCAAACACTCTATACCGCCGATTTTCACCATTTTTGAGTGGGCGAGGGTTCTCGATGGGCAAGTCTTCAACATGGCGGTTCAGGGGCTTCACGTAGCAGACCTAAAACGTAAAAATTTTGAAAAAAATCCTAGATCGCCAAACCCTTTAGAGGAAACCCAAATCCTATGTAAATCCAAACCCCATATATCACATATAACATACACATAAATATATAAATTTAAATTATAACCTTGAAAATAATTACCTGTTAGTTCTGACAACGCTAAATCGATAGTTATGCTTTCGTTGCCCTCGCTACGCTAGCGTACGCTGGTGATCCATCCTTCCCTTGCCACTGCCGCTGCCGAACGCTGGAAACGCTAGCGTACGCTGCCGCAAAGTATAAACGCAGCCTTACAAGGGAGGTCTTTCAGGTCATGGCGCGCTTTTTAGAAATGGTTTGTTGCATGTTGTAGGGGTCCATATAGGGTCACAAAAATGGGTTTCGTTTTTGCTATGCGTTTATGGGAATGCCAAAAAATGAGTGAAAACAATTTGACAAGAAAGGGCGATTTTAACCGGATTGGGCTCTGTTGTAGCTGCAAATTTGAGAGTGCATAAGTTATAAGGTGCTCCTTAAATATGATTAGTACCGAAGTTACGTCAACGATTGCAGCAACAACTGTTTCGTGGTCGACGGGTGGCGGAGTGGATAGTGCGATGGGCTCTCGAAAGGTGGTTTATGGATCGGATCCTCCGGTCGATAAACTTTTTGCATTTCTCGGCTACGGGCTACGGGGATGACTGGATGCCCTACTCACGAGTACGACACTCATTTTTGACCACGGCGCAACCTATCGCCGATTTGCTGCAAGAGCATTCTTGCACTGAAATCGTCAACCCGCACGCAGGGGCTGTTAAGCGCCATGCTGGCGTCAAATGGCCTCGGCGCATAAAATAAGTGTCAGAATCGTGAGCGGGGCTACCAATTACTCCTGTATACGAACTTCCAGCAAAAAAAATTTCGGAGGTTTTGGTGATAATGGACCGACCACTTGGTTGACAGTGGCACCCGATCAGCGCACCCAGCGTAACTGGTTCCACTTTAACTTTCCAGGTGTAGATATTGTGCAATACATATATATGTCCCTTTTTAAAATTTGTAGTTGTTATCAGTATACATAGCAAAACAGATAAAGGTCCCAGGTGATCGAGAGGTTGGGGTAAACTATTAGGTTGTTCGAAAAGACCCTGCGACACTTGTGAATTGAATTGTTCTAGGAAAAAGACCAAAAACTCATTTTGGGATGTTTATCCCGAAGGAGCGTACCTAGCTCTACTACCTACGTACGTTACTGCTCCGCAAATGTGATCATGACGTGAGGAAGTTTTCAAAGCTTAAAAGTCCCCCAGAGATCGAGGTACTTTTCGACCTGTCCCATATTATGAGTTCCTGTAGGGCCACTTCGCCGTAGTCAAGGAAGCTGACACCTACGTTGTCTTGAGGAAGGATATCGCTTGCCATGGCAGAGGGTAGCTTTTGCATCAGCGCTTCTAAGGCTGGACTTATTTAACTCGTAGTTGGGCAATGTATAGGTCGCCCTATCAGCACAGAATGATGGTCCATTACTCAAGCTTCTTGAGGCCGCAGCCGAACGCTATACACCGGGTAGTTGGATTACCTGCTCTATGATCCATCTGGAACTTGACAACTGCCATCTTCGTCCGCGCAATCTCGGTTATCGGAAAAATTTTTTGTGAAGGATGCCTCATAAGTTGGCCCCGTCTGACAAGTCATACCGAATGACCGTGACTGAGTTTTCTTTTCCTTGTACATAGCGTAGGAATGTGAGATCTTGTGGTTGGTAGCGAGTGCCCGGATGACTACTGTACTGTACATTTCTGCAGCTACGGACGTGTCCAACTGACTTTTTAAATGGAAATTGAATACAAGGCTATAATACATCGAAGGAAGTCTTACAGCCAATCTTCATATAAACAATTAAATGTGGTCGTGTTCAAATACTGAAAAAGTAGAGAGAAACCGCCACTACGTTGATCAATCCTTTCTGGAACGTGTCACGTTCTTGACTCCCCCGGGTGACTTACGAATGCGCATTCGTGCTAAGCTATGACTTACTGAGCTTAGACAATGAACACCTCAGAGCTTGAGCCTGCCAATCAAGGACGATACAGATTCTGACGGACAGAATGAATCCTACTGACTGGTTGATTTCATCTAATGCACACTTTGTGTGATACATTTAATTATGGGTTCAGGCTGTTGTCAGGCTGCGTGCAGTGCCCCCGGGACTGCACGTGGGATTAATTGTACTGGCCGTGAATACACACAACGAGACCTGGGACTGCGTGGACCACTCGGTTTTGCCGTGGAGTACTGTACTCTGGCCGCGGGGACCAGTGCCTGCCGGGGTCGGGCGGGTCGCTGCCCGGGTGGCCGCCCCACCCCAAAGCTCACGACGCAACATTTTTAACTTCACGCGCAATTCTCGGGGTACTGTACGCAGCCTGATCTTACCTTGAAAAAGCACTGAAAGATGGCATCAAAACAAGCTCTCATAGAAAACGCGCACCTGCAGAGGACAGATGTCGTCTTTCCCAGCTATGTGACCGTCATGGATCTCGTTGAGGAACAGATTCTTCTCTTCGTTTCTCATAATGACACACGCCGCGTCAACGTAGTACGCCACGACTTCACGACCGATGAACGCAAGAACAAATGGAACCACAGGCTCACACTTCGGAGCTCCTAGCCATCTCAACAAATTTCCAGCGTCTTTCCTAAACATAAAAGTTCTGGCGTATGACTTTGAAGTTCCAAGAAAGATACGCTTTCATTTATTCCATTTCACCTATTTTTTTATTTATTCGAACTTCTTTCCCTTTTTCACAGTTGCCTTAGTTCTCAAAAGAAGAACTCGTGGAATCGTAGAAATTTCGTAGAAATCGTGGAATCCGCCAGAAACAAACGTGGGCGAAGGAAATAACAGAGGCGAGCAGAGAAGAAGAACCCAATTCTCTTGACAGATGAGATTCGAATCAGGAAGGATTCATATTTGTGAGAGCCAGAATTGCTACCATAGTCACTGCACTCAGCGCTGGATATGTCAAAAGCTACAGTCTTGTTGATGCGGATGTTAGATCGTGTCCAGGGGGCTGGCTCTGACACGCCCCAGCATGCGTAGCGAACAAGATTATATGTGCACTTGAGCATTCCAGCTCTCACGAGCAGTGCAACTGTGGAAAGGCGCATATACCTCTTGTACTCCATTACTCTTGTTACTTCACTGGGTTGGTCCTCGTTTAACCCGACTGACCAGATTTGGAAATCCAGACTATGCTTAGGGGAAGGTAGTGTGAGGCATAACGGGAAGGTTCTCAGGTTGGGGCGTTACAGCATAAGATTACCCAAGTGACTCTGTCTGCGTTAGTGTCGGCCGTCCTCATTTACATACTCTCTCGCTGCTCTTTACTAGTCTCTCGTCCGAATCTAAACCAATCTTCCTCTTTCACTTGGATGAGGAGGACCTTGTTTGCTTCTGTCCGACGATTTTGTCAGCACTTTTTTCACAAGCAAGTCCAGTGCCACAAATACTCTTATTTTACATCCATCCCCGAAGTTTTCGACCACCCATCTCGAAATGTGGTTTTGAGGGCAGAATCACTTCTATTTCAACTTCAATCAATAGTCGTAATTCCAAATTAGTTACAAATTGGAAAGGTTGGCAACATTTGCTTACTTTCTTGTATACTTCTTGAAGTCATCAAGGAAAGTGGCCGTGCGCGCAGCAGTGAATCGTGGGTATTCTTCCGCAGTGAGTTCATTCATCACAATGTCGGCAATTCGACGTTGCCTTTGTTCAAGCTCCAAATCCGGTTCCGCAAGCAACTGTTCTGCGCCCTCTCCCAGACCCAGTGATTCCACATACTTCAGCATCCGACCGTAATTGGAGTCAGGTACACTGTAACAAAATTAGATAATTATTAATTTACTGAAGGGTCCGCTAGCGACCGACCTGGTACTGGCCACACCGACGACATCATCGTCGTCCATGCTGCTCTCCTGATCAGGTTCCTCGTCCAGTTTTCCCGTTTGTGGAGCTGCTCGTTTCAACTCATTAATCCGTTCAGCGGTATCAGCAAAATGTAGCAATCTCTTCATTAAGAACTTATGTCTTCTGAAGATAAAAAGCACATCTTCGAGTGTGATTACGTCCCTATTCTCTGTGGCAGCCTGCTTCCAAGCATCTTCAAGAGCTTTGACCATTTGATATTTAGCCATGTCCAACACCATCTCAACGCTAGACGGCAACGGATCTTCAAGATCTCCGTTACAGTACATCATCTGACGGACCACTTCGCGGTAGTACGCTGTCAATTCAAGCATATCGTTGCTGTTGTTGTTGCTCCGAGACATTTTTTCCATCTGAAAAAACACAGAAATCTGAGATAGTTGTAACAAGCAGACACAGTGATGTAACGCAGAAATATCACCAGTTAAAGGCATTCATGCGCGCGATATGTTAGTACTCGGTCTCAAATGGTAGCGCGGGTGTTATATAGTGGGAAAACGGCGAAAAAGGAATGGAACGGTCAAAAAATTTGCGAAATAACTTTTGTTCTACCCGACTCAAAAAGCATATTCGGACGAGTTTCCCTTTGGCACCGTGCCAATAACCGCTACGGAATCAACACGGCGCATGTACAAGTCGCCACGGGTCAGTTGATTAGGCGGTCAAAGTCGAGCTGCGGATGCTGCGAGCGCTACGACCTGCCGGCGATCAGCAGTCCAATGCTATTTAGCCATTCCTCCTCCCTAAGTTCACTGTATTACTTATTTTTTTCAAGGTGCAGCTAGGATTGGTTGTATTGCAATTTGGCGACAAATGTAGTCATAACTTGTCCAGCACAGGGGAGAATGGTCTCGAAAGGAAATATCCTACAGAAAACTATTTCACGCAGTGATCAAATGATGTATACAGTCGCGCCCTTTCCATCTTTGGGATATGGAAATTCCAGTTCGAGCCGTCTCCCACTTCATTCCAGCCGAAATCAGTCGCTTGAAAGGACACTCCGACTCAGAAGCAGCACCAGCGATCACAAAGTATGCAGGAAACCCTTTAGTATACATACAAGATGGGGAGTTTGAAGTCACAGGCGATAGAATTAAGGGCGCAAAGTTTTGTAGCATCGTTGTGGGGAACCCGGGGAATCGTACTTGGCCGCTGGAGGGGGGGGGGGGGTTCTGAATGCAGGGTCTTGTGAGCCAACCACAAAAGTGTCATCACTAAGTTTGATGCGAGCGGACAGAGCGACCCGGATCGTAAGAAGGCTTACAAAAGGATCAAAGCATTAATTGGCCAAATATAATATGTAGCATGAAATTCGTAAGTACGTAGATGACTAAATCGTACACCTCAAACAGATTCGTGGGTATCGACCTTTCCAAACCCTGAACAAACATCTGCTTGCATGGTCAAAAATCATCACCTAAAATCCGACGTTTACACTCTCCTTCCCACCGCCTCTGCGTAGCAACATAATGCATGGCGCACGCTCGGACCAGATCGATCGATGATAACCAAATTATGCTTGGACTCATTTCAACGGGAATATGTGTTGAAGGAATAAATGAAGTCGCAATGAGTAGTTTACAATGGCAGAGAAGAAGTCGAAAGCTGCTTTGAGATGGCCCAGAAATGTTGCCCAAGGTGGCTCAAATCTTAAAATATACTTCTAAACTAGCGATCTTCAAGAAACTGGTGTAAAGCTTTCTCGAAAGAGGAAATATTGGGCGTTGTGATGACCTTTTTTTGTTTTGCAAAAGATTGGGCTTGAAAGAAGTTATTCTGGTCTAAAGCATAGAAAACCCCCGCGAATTTACCACTAGCGTTCCATACACATCCGAAGTGTTTCACTTGCGGATGTGGAAGGCGGAAGGATCAAAAATTTCCCAGTAGTAGAAAAGTAACAGTGGCAGACATTGCTTTCAACAAGCCGCCTCCGTTCTTAAAAGCACCACACCTAGAGAAGCTATCACCCTCAAAAAAAAGCCCCGCGATTTCCACCTGGCCAGCAGACCTGCTCCACCGCTAATTTGCCATGGGAATAATAATGCCTGGCGCGCTTGGAGTCGGTTACCTATCCCAGTCCTTCTTCGTCAGAGCGCAAAAGCTTTTGGATATCAGAAGAGGGGTGGGGGTCGTACCAGGATCATTTTCGGGGGGGGGACGTACTGACATGGCCATTTCACACATCACGATGCTGTACCCTGGCCAAACGGACGCTGAGTTCATAAAACTCGCCCAAAACTCCTCCATTTCCAAGAGCTCATTTGTCGGGCGTCTCGACGCGTTTCTTGCTTTTTTCCATGTATGCGTTCCCTCCTATAACATGGAGTTCTGCCTGCTGTGAAATGCGATTGCAGGCGCTGTCTTCAAAGTACCATGGAGGCGGCCTTTCCAAAAAAAAAAAGAAACCGCGATACACAAAACAATCCCCAGAATTGCCGTGTGTTTTGCCATTCGTCGTGCGCACAAACACGCGCTTTACTTTTGCCCACCTGTCCCGAACTTTTGACAGCTGCGAATTACCACCTGGTCCATCACTTGAGAGTCTGTTTTTCTTGTAATTAGTGGTGATATTTGGTAAATGCTTCGGAACCAATCCCTTCTGTCATGAGTTCTCTTTTTTGAAAGAAATGGTGAAGCTACTGTTTGCAAAGCAGGAAAGAGATTAGAGGACATATGTAGGACAGAAGAGGACAGAGGTATATTAGCTGGGGCATGGTAAATTATGGCAGACGTTTATCACGCTTCGAGGGCACGCGCTAATTGGATGTTTCCTAGCTGGTTGAGTCATACAGCACTTCCACGGTAAACCAATTAGGTCCTGCTACGAATGCCCCGCACATTACGTCATCTTCAACGCTATTTTCGCCGCAAAGTGGTTGTAAGGTCCTACCACCTGGTAAGAGGAAGTGACTCAAATAACTCTCGAAAAAGACAATTACACGGAAAGGGAAATGTAACACACGCACTGTCATCAGTGACACCATGGCTGCACATGTATTTCTTGCAGTTCTTCAGAAAAAGTTCTCCTACCCGTGCACGCACAATATTCCATACCACTTTACATCACTGAATTATCTTACTAACTTTCCTTGATACTTACTGAGGGAAGAAACTGACCGTGAGAAGAACGTGATTCTCCATTTATTAGTTATTCAGCTTTGTTTCCATGTCATACCTATTTGAACTTGAAACTCAAAAAGAACACAAACCGTCATTAGTCTTGAGTTTGTAAGGGAAGGCAAAAGTGTACATGGGTTTTCCTCTTGAAATCTAACAAAAATCGAGTCAGAGTTTTTGAAAATAGACCTAGAAAAAACCGGAGCTGCACAAAACATTTTTAGTGTGTACTTCCTCAATAAATAGTGATTCCTAAATACACCTTACCAAACTTCCTAGGATCCTCTCACGCCTCACGTCTTTAATAACCTAAACCAGTTCAGAGCGAGCGACCACGACGACGAAAAGAACTGATGCACCCGTGCAACTCCTCACCCCATTTCCGTACTTCGCGGCTGCGACGAACCGCAATCCATTGGTAATTGTGGGTTGTAACGGTAGAAAGAAAGTCCAATAGTATTGAATTAGCCATAGCAGCGATCCGACCATTAGCGGTAGAGCATGGTACATCGCACTGGCGAACAGGGCACATCCGTTGGTGGAATTTTCGGGACAAGTCGCACGACCCCCCCCCACCTCTTTTTTCGGGGGTTGGTTTACACCCACCACCTACTTCAAGACCTTCAACTTTCTTCCGTTTTCCCAACCTCCTTTCTCCGAAATTTCCACAATTTCCTAGTTTTTCCCAAAAATTTTGCTGTCGAGCGGGGTGGAGCTACACGGTACATGTGAAACAGGAAAACACACGAAAAATCAACTTCTTTCAAAGGCCAGCAGCCCAATACGAGCCCCCTCCTAACAATGAGCGAATACGACCCCGCCCCCCCCCCTTTACGTTCCTCAAACAAAAAAATCTATAAACTATAAATTTTTCTTGAACCAACTACGACTCCCTCCCCCTCTCCTCTTGCGGGAATCCCCAACAGCGATGTCCCCTGCTCGCGAAAGTATAAACGCTTATTCAGTGGGAGATCATGCGAATAAAAAAAAGAAACGTAAATCCACAGATAGTGCGGAACCTTCTACGGTTCCTCGAAGTCGACGCATCCTAATCACTGTAGCGGCAGTGCTCAATCGACAGCTTCCAAACGGGTTGGTCGGATAAGTTTTACCCTTCAGTAGGCATATCCAGATATTACTAGATTGCCAACTCGTACTACATCTGGTAGCATCATCACAGAAGAAAAAAGAAAAAAAACTTCATTACCTTTAGACAGAAATTTGGACAATTATTAGACACGTGTTATACGACAACATCATGAGATTGTGAAACGGGCTATTACTTTGTAATGAGGTATCAGTAGCGCAAAAATATACGATATATATACAACGTCAAGAGTTGTGGAACAAAATGGCCCGCAATGTTCACGAGAACTTCTTGAGCGGATTTCTATGAATACAAACAATTCTTCTCTAAGTAACGATGCTTAGTAACACACTAGATTGAGACAAACGTAACCATCGATTAAATCATATGCTATCAATAAAAAGCAATTATAAGTGCTCCGGATGTTCCCGTAGACAAGAGATCATCTCAGTAGGTTTAATTTCCCCTCGGCATATCCTGTGAACGGCAGTGAAGAGCGGAAATCTGAAAAGAGGCAAGTATAGTGACAACAACAGACGTAAGCTGGTGAGAGCTCAGCAATCTTGGGACAAAGAATAAGACATCAACTTCTACAGGTCGTCATATAATGGTCGGATAGAAATTTGTTCTTATGCAATTTGTACCGATTAACCAGTCTTTCTACCGAAAGCAGGGGCACCTTGTCAAATGTTAGAGAAAGCAAACAGACTGAAATCAGAGAGTTGCTCCCTGGAGAGGACGGAGAGGACAAAACATTGGCCCCAGGAGGACAAAGTAAAATTTTGAGGATAAGGACGGCAACGACTGGAGCCTAGTTAATTGCCATTCGTTGTTGGCTTTGCCCTAAAACATCACTGCGTGCTTCGGATTACCCCAAAATTGATGTCGCCCAAAGTGGCCTCAGTGTGCTCCTCGGAGTGACAACTTGAAGTTGTTTCTACGTCTTTTTTGCTAGCTTTGGTTGGCCCTGCCATGAGAAACCAAGGTATGCAAGGAAGGATGTACCTGACACTGCTGGTGAGAGACTTACACGAGAAAAAAAAGAGGGAAAATTTGGAGTCACAGTAGGCACAGGACGCTCTAGGCAAGGGAGCTTTATCGTTGCTGTTGTGACTCTTGCAACAAAGAAAAGCAACAACAAATGCAAACAGCGGTGTCGTCATCAGACTATCCGACGGATTACAAGGCACCTACCAAGGCACGAAAGACCATGGGATCTGAAGGGAGGAAAAGAGTGAAGGATGAAGGAGAAGAAGGGGAACAAGGAGGAGGAAGGAAGATTGAGGGTCATGAGAAACTGCGGGCAAGCCACCGCCAGGCGGATAGCGCCGATTTTGGGATACACTTAACCAAGTTTGTGGAAGATTAAGATCTCATGGAAAGGGTGCTTCTACAAATGATGCACGGGGAATTAGTATAACTTCCTCTAAATAAAGCATGTACGTGGGCACAAAAACGACACCCAGATTCGTGGCATAAAAAGAACTAGAGTGCTCAGAAAGCGTACTCCGAGGCCCTACATGATTCACGAATAACATTAATGATTAGGGCAATACTACACAATAACTGTACTTACTTCTCCGTCAAGCCACTTTTCTCCGTCATGTAGTACACCTCATCAGCAGTTAATGGACCTTGAGCGCTTTGCCCATGTAGCAACTCCTTTTCGACCTCAGGGAGCGTTTTACCCGTCTTCACAAAGGCTTCGCAGACCTTTCGATTACGACCGCCATAGCACGTGGTGATCAAGTCAGCAATGCCACATGATTCGAAAAAGGTTTCCAAATTCGAGCCAGGGTAGTAGTGTTCAACAAACTAAAAATAATACAAATATCGACGGTACCATAAAAAAGCCAACTTTGAGATGGCACATCAAGCATATATAACCTAATTCAATCAGAAGAAAATTTAACCTTTGTAATTTCCATGAGTCCTAATCGAATGACGGCCGCTTTTGTGTTGTCGCCGTAACCAAGACCATCAGTGAATCCAGCCGCACAAGCAACTACGTTCTAAATCGATGGGCATAGGACCAAGCGCGATTAAAATTTGAAATTTTGAAGAGCAATGGTGATCAGTTATAGACTGCTCTAGACTGTCGGGAAAAAAAAGTTATGACCTGCAGCAGAGATTAAAGGAAAGGTTCAACATACCTTTAGCGCTCCACAGAGCTCGACGGTGTGTGCGTCTTCAACCACATTAATACGGAAGTTCTCGCGATTGAAAAGTCTTTTCAGAACAGCACCATACACGGCCTTCTTCTTACATCCTGAATTGTTAATGCTTATCACGCAACACAACGTTCACTGAAGCAAGTGGCACTCACCTATAGTTGCTTCACAGAAATCATCGTTAGCTACTTCATGAGCCAAATTGGCTCCCATCAGGACACTGACATCAATATTTAGAATTTCCCTGATTTCTTCCGAGATCAATTTAACGCCACCGAGCTTCTCAGCGTATGGTGCCGCCAAACCCTAAAAACGGATGGTTACTTTTGAGAGAACCTTAAATTCTCGGTTTTGCCACGTTTCTTCGCAGTGCAACAGACGCTGTGAATTACAATAGCAAATCGCAACAGGACGGTGAATGAGACAATGACCGAAGGAGGCGAAACTTACCTCTTGCGGGATGATTTCTCTGAAAATTCTACTTCGAAGCATAACAGAGGATATTCGCAAGCGTGGGAAACATGTGTTAAACATAATAAATCGAAAGACTTCAGTTATCCTCGGAGCAGAGCTGTGATTGTTTATTGCGAATCTCTTGACTTCTCACGTCAACCAGAACTTTGTGATTATGCTTATTTTTGGAGACTTCAACATAACACGATATTTCCTTCTTAATCTGATGGACTTAGTTAACAACACAGGGGTCTGCCTAAAATGTAATCTAGATGCGCAGGGTGGGCTCTGATAGGATTCATTCTTGCGGTTTACAGACAGGGCTAGCGCGACACATAAGTACCCCCTCCTCCTCATGATCTCATACTGGACGCCTGACACTGCCCTCCCTTTTGGGAAATATGATCCCATTCCAACGGCCACTGAAGCACACCCTGCACTGCTCTGGTATTTCTGAAGTTTTTCGTTACAATCGAGGAACATCCTTCCGTGAACAAGGAACCAAATGCTGCAAAAGACGCAGGAGTTCAGGCAACTAAAAAAAGACAGACAGTCTCTCAACAGTGAGCATCACGATCAATCCACTCACTTGATGATTTCTTTCAAGCTAGAAGGTCATCTCATGTGAAAAGGCTTACTTTCAAATTATAGCGAAATCTGATACTCCCAGAACTGGTAACAGCGTACGTACAAGTATCTGCCTTGTACAGCCTAGTGCTGCGGGCGAAAGGGCGCGTCAGGCGAGATGAGTTTTGCGAAATGCCAAACCGTTCTCCACTAGTTGTTGAGGCGAGCAAATGACACGACTGTAATATCGTTTATCACTGTGTTCCACCAACTGTTGTCGCATACCCGATTCAACAACACAAGAACGAGTTTGGGGCACGGCTCACTCATACTGCCTGACACGCCCCTTCATCCGCAGCGAATTACCACCTCACTATTCACTCCCTTCACCGTGCGGAGCAGAAATGGGAATAAGTTGAAATGAAAAGCGTGTCCATCCATTCCGCACGCTGTACCTGTTCCGAAATGAGGTCCAGGCAGAGCTAGACGTCCACCATAAAAAAACTGACCACTACACGAAACTTCTCAAATGAAGGGTACTTGAAGATCACAGATAGCAATGGAAACTCGGATGTAGCATATGTCCGTTTCCTGTCAGAATCAAGATGAGATGTCATCACTTCATTCAGATGTCCCGTAACATGATTACGACAAAGAATCCTGCATATTATCAGTGTCACCGGCATGTCCTGACACGTCGTGCACGGCTGATTCGACGACAGCTATCTCCTGACAGGAAACGAGCATACCAGACCGCGTAGCTGTACTACATAAGTGCCCAAATTGATGTTCAGCCGCGACTGATTAAACTCAATTGGTTCAAAGGTATCGTTTAGAGGGATGAGTGAAGAAGATTTTTCTTGAAGTTTTTGTATGTCCCTATGATATCTGTAAAAAGTACTCAGATCAGGGCACGTCGTACAGTGAGAATTCCAGTGAGCGAGGCCGTATTTGGAGGCTGAAGGAAGTGGGTTCTATTTACCTCCGAGGAATTTCGGGATGCTTGTTGTTGTTGACTTCCTTCCTTTTTCCTGTTTCAAGCGCGCTGCCTACTACCCCTCCCCCTCCCCGTCGCCCTGACGCCGCTTTTTTGGCTTGGGAAAAACTGGATGGACTTTTTCGGGAAATTCAGAAAAATGGAAGCTGGGTTAGGAAACTTCTAGGTACAATGAAGGATGGGGGATGGAGTCGGACGGGGAATTTTGTAGGGGCCGTATTTTGCAAGTATTTCACCCAACGACAGGACGTGCCCTGACTCAGATCTGACGGTGGACATCACTAGGGCTCGCGGTACCGGCATGATTTGATTATTTTTACAGATATTCACATAACGCTGAGAGCTTCACCTCTTCTCTTTTGGATCAGGTTTCGCAGCGATACCCTAAATAAAAACACACTTCTAACACAAAACTATGGACTGCAGTCTAAAATTATTGCATACTAAAAACTAAATTCTGTTGTTAACTGCTAATGAAATTCTAGTGGGAGCTAACTAAATTTAAAGCTGAAGCTGTTCTGCACGACCTCGAAGCTAAACAAAAACTACGACTAACACCTAAAGTGCGATTAGAGTTGCGAATGGATCCTGTTTTACAAAACATCTCTAATTTTACAAGATTATTACTTTTCAATATAAGAATAAAAGGAAAATAGAAACCTGTAAATATCAAACCTTTATCAGCGAGACAGCCTGACAATCTGCAGCAATTTTGCCTTCAAGTTGATGACAGATTTCTGCAAAAGAACAGAGGTGGGCTTGAATAAACAATGAAAACATTTCTAATACTTCACAAGTTCTAGTTACAAAAATACCAAGAAACGTACTTCTGACAAATTGGTGAGGGACAACAAAGATCAAAATGTTCGCTTCCTCACACGACTCCACCAAATCGGTGACAGCAACCTGAAGCAGGGTTATATGAGCGAAAAACCCAAGCTGCTGTGCTGATACACTAAACAGGAACTGCTGCGAACTCCTTGGATCGAAAAGGAAATTAACAAATTCAATTCTACCCATCCAGCTCAGACCAAGAAAATGTCCCCTCTCCCCACTCGTTGTACATTTAAGTATTTCCCGGGGAACATATAAACGAACTTGCTAAAAATTCAGAGCACTTCGAGGGTGAGCTGACCACTCAAAGCCCACCGACTCCAAAGTTTCCAAACTTTTTCGAGAAATACCGCAATGACCAAAGTAATTAGCGTTGAAATGGTTGGAGACATACAGCAAGAAGAGAGTCATCAACCTAGTTGCTCAACTGGGTAAATCGCCGCAAACATCTGGTATGAAATCACCTATATAAAGCGGGGAAGATTCGTGACGTTATCAGGAATACCGAACATAGCTCCTTCATTTATGTCCACTATTTGCCACACTCGAAGCCTCTGAGTTTCGATGGGCATGGCTGCGAACTTGAATTGAACGAGGCGGCGGCCAAAGGTCTTCATGGGATATTCTCATTCCGGGACAGCGGCGGCCAAAGTCTTCATGGGATATTCTCATTCCGGGACAGTTGTCATGTGTATGTCCAACAAAAACAAAATGACTGTTGTCTCAAATTGAATCCCACGAGTAACTCACCCTACGCCATCTTCAAATGCCACGCCTACTCCATCTCAGGGATAGGAGTGTACCACCAGTGCGGCAAATAATTAAACTGAATTCACTTCTAACTCGTGTTTGCAATGGAACTACAAATCAGCAAGTCTTGACAATGTGTGAAAAATGCCGGCGTTTGTCATTACACAAAACATTCAGTGGCCCGAAGTTTCAACCTCGATACTCTTCAGAGGCCGAAGGTCCCACCGAAAATGCGCCGGTAGCTTCTCTCCTTAGATTAGTTAGGACAAGAACCCCTCTCCAGCCCTTGCGACTCGTTGCTTACTGGTCACTCTCTGGAGTGGTGTCTCCCATTCCCTCTTCAATTGTTCTTGACAATAGTTACCGTAGGCATTCAGGATGCAAGTGGCACCGGAAGTTTCTCTTGAGCTTACTCGAATTTTCAGAGCTATTTCACTTGACGGCATATTTCAGCACAACAGTAGAAATAAGCAAGTGTTGTTGATGATCCTGTTCATCACGATCCCTCGTGCCGTTCCCAGGAACTCAAGAAACACTTGACACAATGGCGCTCGGGTGGAATGTTCGCTGTCAAGATGTCGCGCAGATGTGGACCCACATCCAGCGCGCCCCATTCTTCTTCGTCTAAAGTCGTAAAACACACCCGTGAATTCCTCGCTCATGTCTCAAGAAAGGGATAGGAAACTAGGATGTACTGAACAAGGAGGGGTTTGTTCTACATTTCAGGATGTTCCGTTTCAAATAAAACATCCTCGACCATACCCCAAAAAATACTTGAATTTTAAAAAAAATGAATGCATGTGGCATTCTGACATTGAATCGCATTCATACTTCGCGGCCAGATCGCTCGAGCCATTGGATCGCCACGACCACGACCGGGGCACTCCACGACCAAGTGGTGCACTACCGCAACAGTCGGAATTCAAACTGGGCCAATCTGAATTGTGCCGTTGCGGCGGTGCACCGTTTGGCGGTGTAACGCCCCAGATCGCGGTTCGAGCGATCTGGTCGCGAAGTATGGACGCCATCTCAAGTCAGGTTTCACTTTTTTTGTACAGCTGTAGGTATCGTTATCTACCATAGAGACATCAAACTCACTCACCACATTGTCTGGAATCTTTTTTCCTGGCAAATACTTGACATTTTCGTGACGAGTGTTGATAATGTGGGACAGCTTCTCACCTCCCACAATTTCCTCGTACACCTGGAAACACATCAATGAGTGCACTGATTAGGAAAAGATGCCTAGGCTGGTGGTTGCGCGGTTAAATCTTCACTTGCTCTTTCTTAATTTGACCTGAATTCGTCCAGAGCACTGCACGGAACATAAAAATTAGAGCTATGGTGCGCAAATCAGGGCTCATATTTCGCGACACTAACAATTCAGTCGCGCGTTTCCCCACAGTTCGAGGACGCGTGACTGAATCGCTGGCATCGGGAGTATGAACGCTACCCAACGGCTAAGACGTACTTAGTCAACACTACTAAGATAGTTTGACCCACCGCTGGGCAGCAAACAGGCCAAACTGGCTTATACATATATTCGGTGTGCTACCCACCTGAATATAGCCACTTGCTTACTTAAATTTGAGGCTTGGTTACTGTGGAAGTTCGTGATACCAATGGTAATACGGGCTTGGAAAATTCATCCCTAACGTGTCATTATCCATTATACGAAATGTTGTAACACATCCGACGGTGCGTTGTCAGATGACATGTCGTAACAGGTAAGGCTGCGTTCATACTTTGCGTCAGCGTTTTGAGCGTACGGCACCATTTGAAGCGTTCGAGCGTACGCCAACGTACGGCAGTGTTTTGAGTGACTAGAAAAGTATAGAATATCGATCTTGCGATTGAGTGCATGGAAGCGTTTTGAGCGTTTCGCGAGTAG